ACACACAAATGAATAAACAAAACGATTGCTGATTGTTACTAGTGCTAACAAGGAAAGAATTCATGTTCCACGTGAGTGAGATCGTGCCCATTGCTTCATCATGATTTTAAGTGATCCAAATGCCTCACTGGGATAACCTGTATCAGTATTGCTTCCTTGTATCAGGTAGATCTCAGTCTTTTCTTTTTACTTGATCAAGGATTAAAGAATTTTACGTTTTAATGCCATGGTTTCCTATAAGAATTTAAATATACTTACTTTCTCAAATTAAATAAGTGTAGACAAAACACCAGATATAGCTTTTCTAAGGAGTCACTATAACCCCTAAAAATCTCTATTGTCAGCTTTGATGTACCCCAAAAGATCAAAGTGCCTTGCTCTCTAAGATGCATGTCTCAACAGAGCATCTGTTTCAAGAAATTTTTCATTTTTTGATAAGTTTACAAGCAGTAGTTAGTATACAGAAAATTTTAAGACACCTCTGGAGAAAGTTGTAAATTCTGCAGATTGAGTCAGGACTCTCTTGATAATCATTAAAAACCTTGAGGCCTAGAATAGTGTTTGGAGCATAATTTGTCTTCAATTGGGTGTTAAATGTTTGCTGAATAAATAGTGATGCAAAATTAATAAATAGTGATGAGAAAATTAGCTATTTGAAGCATGAGACCAGAATGGAGCTGAAAGAAAAAAAAGTAAAATTAAAGTGGCTCACTTATCAAAAAGCAAAGCCACAGGGAAAGGGGATCAATAACAGTATCCTCTTCATTCCCTTTTGACTAAGCCTGCAGGTTTATGAGGGGACAGGAAGCTGGGAGCATCTCAAGGAAAGAAAATGCAGTCCCCGAATGCCACAGCTCGAGAGGAACACCCCAGCCTACCGTCTCCAATGGAGAAGAACAATCTGCAGATTGACAAAGCTCTCTGTTTACACTCTTGGACAAATAAACTAATTGTGCCTTTGTTTTAACCTAACAAATCATAGCTTGATTACAGGTCATTAGTGACCATTAATATGTGAAACTGCATTTCACTAGTATGTCTGAATAACAGTCTTGCCTTTCATACTAGCTTAGTCAAGTTTCCAAAGGGAAAGCCCCGTCATCAGGCCATGAGCAGGACTTAAATTAACAATTAGCTTCTGGAATTGAGCTATGATGCAGAAGAATTAATTATTTTGGTTCATCGTGGTTCTGCCTCCTATAGAACCAGTCTTTGCCTTGGTAGTGGAGACATGCCCTTTGTAACAAAAGATTGTGTGACCACCTCTCTCCAAACATTCTCAATAATTCCCAATGACTGCTAATGTGTCAGCCGGCAACACGGACCTGCTTATATGACAATAGTACAGACAGTCCTAAGGTCACAATATGATGGCTGATTAGAGTCTAGATAAATGCAGGGAGCACATTGGGAATTATCAGAAAAGTAGAAGTGACAGCAAAAAAGGTCTATTTGGTAAAAAAAAAAAAAAAAAGTGGAGGCAGAATAGAGAATATATATACCTGTGTGAACCTGGTAATCTAGAATTTTTAAAGGTGCAACTGGAGCTTTGGATTATCTGCATTAAGGGGTAAGATTCTTCAAAGGTATTGGATAATTGTCAAACCTCCATTTTATTTTGTGTTGAGCAGTTACAGAGGAACGTGGAATGATTAAGAGAGATTAAAGATCTCAGGAATGTTTGAGAAATTTCTAATACAGCGGTTGCCATTTAGGAGCAAACCCATGGTCCATCTTATCGAATGTTCTGTTTTTTTTCAAAAAATGTCCCCTAGGACATGCCACTTTTGACTACTAATGTGTTGAGGCCATAGAATTAGAGTCGTTGCTATCAAGGCAAGTAATGGCAGCCCATACATTGCTGCAGCCATTTTTACTTTTATTCTGGACTAGCTACAAACCACGTGGTTCATGCCCCAGTTTAAAATGCATAATGATAGTATAGAGTTCCATGTAGTCCTTTCAATCAGTTATCCTGCTCATCTGTATCTCCGCTTATGAAAGTTAGATTATGAATAGTATAGTAATGGTGCAAAATGCAGGTTCTAAATTAAAGTTGCCTGTTTTCAAATCCTGGCTTTTCTACTACGAATAAGGTGACTCTGAGCAAGTTTATTAACCTTTCTGAGCTTCTCTTATCTGTGAAACAGATAATAATGGTGCCTACCTCAAAGGTGATTTGAAAACCCTAATTAGGTAACTAGTACATGTAAAGGGCTTAGTACACTACATGGCATATAATAAGTGCTCGATAAATATTAACTGCTATCATTTATTTTTTTCCACCAGCAGCCATACCCACTGTGGCCACCAACTCCATCTCCCACAGAAAGATAAGGAAACAAAAATATCTAAGATAGACTTTTTCCTGAAGTCACCCAATTACTAAATAACTGAGATGGGACTAACCCATCATCTTGACTACCATTCTCCCTGCTTGGAATACTTTTCATTATTCTTCCCTCTTCCTCATCCTTCAGGTCACAGTTTAGCCATCTGCTTTCTCACGAGCCCTTCTCTGAGCCCTTTTATGTCATTTCACAGTCTCTTGTACTTCCTCCGTCAGAGAACCTCTCATCCTGCATAATTGCCTGTTGTCCTGTCTGTGTCCCCTGCTAAACCACAAGTTCCTTAACAGAAGAGATCAGGTCTATGCACTAAACCTTTGCATTCCCAGCACCAAGTACAGCACCAGACACATAGTAAGTGCACAATAAATACTTAATAAGTAAAAGGATGGATGCCTGACTCTTCATTATCAATCTGTTGACACACATTAAATTATAATTTCTCACTGGAACAGATTTTGGAAAATCGGAGAGAACCCTACATGGTTTCATGTCTTATACTGTTCTTAAATAATCAGAATCTAAAGTCAAAAATTTAATTTTTAAAATTAACACATAATATGTTACATATTTATGTGGTACATGTGATATTTTATTATATGCATGGAATGTATAATGATCAAATTATAGTATTTGGGTTACCTATCACCTTGAGTATTTATTATTTCTATGTGTTGGGAACATTTCAAATTCTCTCTTCTAGCTTCTTTGAAATATGCAATACATTGTTGCTAACTACAGTCACGGTACTCTATCAAACATTGGAATTTATACCTTCTATCTATCCATATATTTGCACCCATTGACCAACCTCTTTTCAAGGCAGTCTTAACCAAATTCTAACAGATTCAGTTTCTGAGGAAAGTAACTAAACTTTTAAAAATGACACCTTGAAGTGACTCTTACATTCTATTAAAACACAGGCACGTGTGTATACATACACACTCACCTTATACCTCACACTTATCACTAAGCTATGCACAATGCTTATCTAGTCACCAACCCTCAAAATTTGGAGAAGAGCACTGTCTTTGTACTTTGAAGGGACTTTTCAGAAACATTTGACTTTGATGAGGCACAGTGAAAAGCAGGTATCTATCCTGGCTGTTCTTCACAACGAGCTCTTAAAATTCAGACCCTGAACTGTCTCTCATTTACAGTTTTAATGAATTAGAAATTTTGAGTCTGATGTAACGCAAGTCATAAACTTTGACCAAATAAAAAATACTTCCAATTCTTTTTCTCCCTCCATCTTGGAGGAGGAATAGAAGGCATAAAAGTTGGAAGCTCCAGGGAATCTATTCAAAGCCTATTCAGTTTCATCTCATTAAAGTAACATCGTCAAGGGCAAACCAAATAACACCCAAACCCCCAATCAATATTATATTAGAATGCATTGAAAGTGTTACTTAGTTGGTAGGAATGAAAAAAAAATCGTACATTGAAATTACAACAGATATAAGTCTTCTAATCAAATAGATCGGACAGCAAAATGTAATTTTTCTATAGCAAGGGAGGAGCTGAACTTTTCCTCATATCACCAACATTATGTAAAAACCCTGCTCTCTTGTTTTATATTAAAAATTTAAGAAATATCACCTGCATGGAGTCTATATAAATGTATAACACTAACATTGCATAGTTCCCTTAGGATACTAATGTCTCACACATCTTTATCCATAGTCTGATGGAGAATATTCACAAACATATATGCATACAGACACATACACATCTTGTGTATACACAATATACATACACATACATATACACACATAGCTGCTCTTTTTCTTCCCTTTTTGATCTGTGACCACCTTTTAAATTTCATTAGCTCTATGATAAAATATTCGTCTAGAACCTTTTTCCCCCTTCATTCCTTTTATTAAAGGGGGCTTTTCTCTTCTGAATGTTTTACTCTTTGATCTGTCTCAGGGTTTAATCTCTGATGATTCTTTTTCTTAAATCAAAATACAGTTCTTTTGAATTAAATTTTATTTTCCATTACTCCAAAACATAGCCAAATGTGGAGGCTGTAAAGCTAAAGCCTCACCACACACTGTATCGATAAGTGAATAAAAATGCCTAGCAGAAGCCTTCGTGCTACTTCATCCAAATCAGGTGGAACTACTTAGGAGTTAATAATGAAAGGGCTTTAGAATATTTGTTACAGGTGAGAAGCTGTTTTTCCTACACACTGATTTCTAGATCTGTTTTCTCATTGAAAATTACCCTCTCAGTGAGACCTTTTATTTTTCATTATATTCAAAGTAAGATGCCCATATTGTCTTTTTTTTTTTTTTTTGCCTCTTAACCCCAAGCTGTCTTTCTTTGTTGAGCAGTTAATATATCTACCTTGTTCTCTAGCTTTGACCATCCTAACATCAATAAAACAGGCTCTATTCTTGTTTAGCCAACACTCTCCTGGTAATTTCATAACCAGTTAAAATGTATCATTACCATGTGCATTAGGTCAAAATATGTTCTTGTTCCTAAAACAATAAATCAAACTGTGCTTCCTATGTACAATAAATTTTTTAAAAATGTAAATTAACTTATTTGTGTCCCACAGAACAACTTTCCAGCAATTAGAACTATTCAACACTTCTATATTGCTACTTTTTCAAGAAGAGTAGGTATAAATAATAATACTAATACCTTTATTTCCATAGGTGTTTTCATCTGGATAATTCATGCTTCATTATTGTGCCACTATTCTCTGTCTTGGGTTCTCCCTTGGCTCCTGTGACAAACATGGGGTTCAGGTCCAGACTCCAAGAGGTTGTGATGCTTCAACTTTTGGTAATATACAGGTGCATTTACACACTCCCACATACCCCCTACCATCTCTTTGGGAGAGTTTGCTCCCGGCCTGTCAAAGTCCAGGCTAACAAGGTAGCACAATGAACACTGTAAAAGCTCCCTGGCCTCAGCTCCCTCGACCTGAAGTGGACTGCTTCTCACTTGAGAATACAGACGTAGAACCGCGAGTCTCTAAGTGTTGCTCCTGATCATCATCAGCAGCAGCAGGATTACCCGGGAAACTGAAAAAAATCAAACTCTCAGGCCCCATCACAGACCTCTAGATCTATTCTAAGCTCAAAGGGGTGGAGCCTAGAAGGTTGTATTTAACGAACACGTCAGGTGATTCTAATGCACATTAAAGTTTGAAAACAGCTGCTGTGTGGCATCTAGGGAGTTTTGAAGAGGCTGTAGTGAGGAGGAGGGCTGGCTTCATAGAGTCAAAGTGGGGTCCTGTGGACAGGATACTCAGCGTTTGGGGTAAGGTTTTATGGTGCAGGGCTAGGAGCAGTGGGGAAAGAGAGAATACTCTGGTGCAGAACATCTTTTATACAATAGGAACTATTCAGAAGCATGACCAAGTCACCTCACTGATTAGAAATGGGCCCCTTTTTCTGCAAGTGTTCAGAGGTATGAGGTTATATACTATGAGAAGCTATGAATAAGGTAATAGAAGAAATAGTCAAAATAAATATGTAAGATTAACAAAAAACAAACTAGGCCTTGGTGGGAACTTTCAACATACCACTAATATAGAACAAAAAGTTCATAATTAATTCATTATTTTTTTAGTATCTTAAAGTTATTATCTTTAAAAACTAGCCTACTGATGGTGCATAGAGTAGAGAATGAATTTTAGTTTCCTCAATGCTTCATTTCATATTCAGAAAAAGGTAGCAGTTTGTTTAGATTGACACAAGAATCCAACCCAAGAGATTATGTTTGTTATTTAAAAGAGAGCAAATCACCACCAGCCAGTACTGATACTAGATCAGAGATTAAGGTTGGTGTGTTAACTTATTTGTCCTCTGTTTTGTAACCAAAACAACTGTCTTTCAACAATAATATCTTAAGACAGATACATAACTCTACTAATATTAATGAAAATACAGCCCAACCTTATTTAGCAATTACTGCCTACTGTGTTTCCTGGGACTGTCCTGAACATATTATGGGCACTGTCATTTTTAATACTTACAATAACCTTATGAGGTTAAACATTGCTGTTTTCATTTTACAGATGAGGCATCTGCGTTTAGAGAAGTTAAATAGCTTGTCCAAAGACTAGCAAGTGATGTGGCCAGGATACAAACTCAGTCATCTCCAGAGTCTGTTTTCTTGACACTTTTTTCATATAATTCTAACCTCTATGGTTGGAAGGGTAGAAAGTATATGTGGTCCAGTGGAAATAATGTTTATGACCACTTACATCTTCTAAAAATACTAAAAACAACCAACTACTCATTGAATGCTTAATCTGGGTCAGGGACTGAACTAGCCATGTACAAGTAGTATCTCACTAATCCTTACTACAGCCATGGAAAGTAGTTACTACTATTGTCTTAACTTTACATAGGGGTGACCGCAATTAGAGGATTTAAGTAATGAGCCCATCTTCTTTTTTTTTTGAGACAGAGTTTCACTTTGTCACCAGGCACCAGGCTGGAGTGCAGTGGTACGATCTTGGCTCACTGCAACCTCTGCCTCCCTCTGGGTTCAAGCCATTCTCCTGCCTCGGGCTCCCGAGTAGCTGGGACTACAGGCACACACTACCACACCCAGCTAATTTTTGTATTTTTAGTAGAAACAGGGTTTCACCATGTCTCAATCTCTTGATCTCGTGATCCACCTGCCTCGGGCTCCCAAAGTGCTGGGACAGGAGTGAGCCACCGCACCTGGCCCCATATTCTTATCAAAGATTTCACTGCTTACATAATAAAATGGAAATTAGGCAAAAACCACACATAGTATTCAGTAAATGTTGCTTTCCTGTCCATACGTTAGTTTCTGGGCATCAGAATTGTGTTGTTGATGATCAATCGTTATTTTTCTTGCCTATTTTCTTGCTTGTTCCAAATGGCAAATATCTGTGAGTTAGATATTTGGGTGCAATATACAGCCATGAAATATAACTAAATCCACTGGCTTCTCTGCATCTTTAGTATCACCAAACCCTAGCGCTTTAAGGCTTGCACCTTAAATGTGGTTCCAGGGATGTGGTTCCAGAAACTTTTCCACTTGGCAAGAGTTATATGAGTGACTTTAGGAATGAGACACAACCCATGCCCGAGCCCCAAAATCAGAGGTGGAAGGTACACCATGTTGTTCCACCCAAAGAACCTTGTGCTAAAAATGTTGGTGGTCAATGCCTTACAGAGAGAGTCAGCAAGCAGATGCACTTTCTTCCAAGACTGTAAGATTTCATCTAGTGGGGAGTTCAGTGATTTATCTGATATCACAGAAGGAGCTCTTTTTTATGAATCAGTCTCTAAGCCTCAGTCTTTTCTCCACCATAAACTAGGTATGTGATCATAGGCAAGTTAATTAACTCCAATGGATCTCAGTTTTCTCACTGAAAAAATGAGAATAAAGGAAATTTACTCTTTATGCTTGTTGTGCAGAGTAGATAAGACCTGTGAAAATACTTTGTAGAAATATAAATCCCCTCCGCAAATGTAAGATGACATCAATATTTTATGAAACTTCTTCCTTGTCTAATATTTAGCTGCTAATGTATCAACCTGTTTAGCGAAGTTGGTTTTCTGATGAACTAATTTAAAAGCAAGAGGAAGGGGGAATTCTTTAGAATTGAAAGCTATCAGCAGTGCCAAGGACAAGTGAACTATTTGATCAGTTGTTCTGATGGTTAAGAGGGAGTAGGATGTTTATTACTTGGGTAACCAAATAATCTGCATGTTGCAAATCCCTGTGACATGCAGCTTACCTATCTAACCATCTTGCACATGTACTTCTAAACCTAAAATAAACATGTTTTAAAAAGAGGGAGTCAAGAGCCAGTAAGCTTGGCAAATCTCCCAGATCAGTTCATGTTGGTATGAAATAGCCTGAGAAAACTTTCTGTGAAAGCAACAAGGAATATTATAAAACTACCATGTAAATGAATGGGACATAAATAGCAGCTCAACATGGGCTCAATCAATGTATTTTACCAAAGATACCTTTGGGTTTCTATCAAATTTCAAGGTGCGAAGTCTCTTGCTTATCTACATTAGAGAGTAGAATGTGGCCTATCTGTAGATTAGAATGGCACGGAAAGGAGGTGGTATGAAGGACAGTTTTACGTAGGGAGAAAAAAAAACTCTACATGAAGTTTACCTTGGAGAGATGAAGAAAATATGGTATTTAGCACTATTATCTGTTTTTATATCTTATTGAAGGGATTTAACCAAAAGATATAAGAGCAAAGTCACAAAAATCAGGAAAACAATTTTTCTAGTGATTTTACATTTACCTTAGACTATGGTTTCCTCTCAAGGTACCTAGCAGATTAAAATTACTTTGTGACGTGACACTACCACCCTGCTTTCCCTTTTATAGCTCTCATCTTAAAATGTTTTACAGGTCAACACAAACAGGTAAAACAAAAGCAATCATGCTATTTTAAGTATACATTTTCCTTGGGCCTATTAAATTTAGAAAAGCGTATTTACTCTTTCAAGTGGCTAGTTGTGGCTTGAACTGATTGCTTGATTAATCACTCAAACTCTGGCTCTAGACCATCTTATCCAGGTTCTCTTTTTAGTATACCAAAAACAGAGGTCATGAGGTTGCTTAGATCATGAAACTAAGGAAGGAAACCAAGCCTTTGACACAGAAAACAAGCCATACTTTCTAAAGCCAAGATCATCTCATGAGTGGATGGTAGTATTCTCCTACGTTTCTCTGACATAATGTACCCAAACTCTGTCACTAACAGCCTCATTGCAATACACTACACTTGACCAGCTGCCCCATGTGCAGACCTCTCCAGTAGGTCCGATAGTCACCAATCCACTGATTAAACATTTTAAAACTGGCTTTGGCAAAACATGCCAGAAATTCCTTCAGAGTAATTAAAACCACCCTCTGTGTCAATAAACACAGACTGTGAAATCTTTCACGTGCAGAGGGGCTGGCTCTGACCCACTGGCTCCAGAACATTTTTTCTTAGATGGGCTTTCCATCATTGCAGTTGATTTTCACTGACTCATCTAGACCACTGCTCAGCCCCCTTATACAAAGATTGGCTGAGGTCAGAGATATCATCTTACCTTTCTTGTTTCGGTCAAGACATGAGAACCAAAGGGGCTATAAACCTAAGGGCCAGGCTGATTGCCAAAGCCCTTTCACCCAGATCTTCAGGTGAGAGATCTGAAAAAGGATTCTTGCTATAGAATAAATATGACAGTCACAGTGTTCACTGACCACTGCTCTTCCAGCATTCAAACTGATTTTCATTTGAAGAATTATTAATGTGTCTTCAAAGTAAAAGGAAGAACTCAGGTGGATATTTACTGCATTGATTCCCAGAGACTAGTCACACAGTAGACACTCCATGAATTGTTTCTCACCACAATGGCAGCTTTGTTGTTTTTATTATATAAACAATGTATCTATTTATTTCAACTGTCATACATTATAGAAAATATAAAAATAGTAGAAGTTAGTTAAAATTTCATCAGCCTGAGCTATCAATATATTTTGGTAGCCATCTTTTCCATAGAATTCTTTATGTACACGAACAAAATTTTATGTAAGAGAAACCATACTATACATGCCCTTTTATCATGGATGAAGCTAACTTTGACTTTCTTTAAAATATAGAATTTTTTGTTTGTTTGTTTGTTTGTCTTTTGAGATGGAGTCTTGCTCTGTCACCCAGGCTGGAGTGCAGAGGTGTGATCTCAGCTTGCTGCAGCCTCCACTTCCTGGGTTCAAGTG